CTCTAGCAGATAATGAACAAAATTCTCTCGAAAGGGTCTGAGTTGCCGCCAGTCTGCGGACCAGGCCAGGAAGACCTGTGGGTGTGGGTAGACTTGGCTGCTGCTCTTTGCAGACAGTAAATAAAGCTGTTTAAATGCAGGCGCACTGGCTACAGGTGGGAACGCGGAGAAACGCCCATGAAAACACTCACTCGGCACGAGAAGCCGGAACAGCTGCACGAAGGGAGCAAAACGACCTTGAAGGCAAAGTAACACCCGCAATGGAGCCAGTTCGTCAACATAAAACGCTCCGTCCATCAGGAAGGAGGAGCCACGCGTGCGGCCCCCCTAGCAGAGCCCCAAACCACAGGCAGGAACCCCGCCCGGAACGAGCCAGAAGGAAGCGTGGAGGCCTGGGGGTAGCACCAGCCAACCTTGTCCTGGTTGGGCATCTCCATGTCATTCGCAGAGCAACGCGCCCAACACACGCAGGGCATGGCCCTTGCCAGGGCACGCGGCAGCGACTGTCCCCAGACGGCCATGGCGGGTCGTGACGCTGTGAGAGGAGGTGCCCCCAGCCGCCCTCCGTGGGCAGCACGGCCATCGTCACCGCCACCGCCCGGGTCTACGTGTGAAAGCGCGGGAGGGACGGGCACGCAGGCCTCACCCCGGCCGTGGCTTCCGCCCCTCCATGCTCCCTCTTCTCCTTTCTCCCTGATTTTTAAAAAACATCTTTATTGATGTCAGAGAGGAGGGGAGCAGGAGGGGAGAGAGAGACACATCCATGATGAGAGAATCATCCATCGGCCGCCTCCGGCACGCCCCCCACTGGGATGGAGCCCGCAACTGGGCCTGTGCCCTGACCGGGAATCAAACCGTGACCTCCTGGTTCCTAGGTCGACGCTCAGCCCCTGAGCCACGCCGGCCGAGCGGCAGCCGGTTTGTTAACAACAAGGGAGCTCGCCCCTTCCTGGTCCTGCAGGCAGAGGCCCCGCTGGTCGCCTCGTGTAGGTGGCTTCCCCTCCTTGTGTATTCTCTCCCCCGGGTGGCGTCCTGTTCCCCCAGTTTCTCAGAGGACGTGGTGTGGTCCGCGAGGAGTGAAGCGTCACTCAGAGGTTCACCGACTCACTGAGAAGGGGATTTCCTTGGACCAGCTCTCCATCCCGTCCACGGAGCAGCCGCTGGGGGGAGGGGGGGTGTTCAGGGCCAGCACTGGCCGGGCTTGCAGTCCCTGAGCTGCAGAGCGAGGCGGCCCCCACCCGCCTGCACGGGGAGCGGAGGTCTCCATGCCCCCCAGGCTGCTGGCATCCTCATGCTTCTTGCACTCCCACTGCCGTGGTGCGCGCCTCCGTCAAATGTCTGCCCCCTGGTGGTCAGTGCTCATCATTGCAAGTGGTTGAGCGGCCTTAGCATATATTACGCTTTGATTGGTTGAATAGATGACCGGATGACCAGACACTTAGCATATTAGGCTTTCATTATACAGGTTGGCAAATTTTAAAAAGATCTTGGTGAAATACTGAGCTATTTTAAAAATATGTTTTTATTGATTTTAGAGAGAAATCAAGGGAGTGGGGGGAGAGAGGGAGAGAGAGACATCAATGTGAGAGAGAATCACTGATGGGCTGCCTCCTGCACGCCCCCTACTGGTACCAGCCCACAGTCCGGGCCTGTGCCCTGACCTGGAATCTAACCGGTGACCTTTTGGGGCCAAGGACGATGCTCAACCAACGAAGCCACACCAGCCAGGGCCACTGAGCTGTTTTTAAAAGAAAGGAGTTTAGAGGAAAACAGAAACGTACAGACACAACCTGTTTTCTGCATATTTTTTACCACACGGACACTTTAATGAGACAAGCTCGTGATTAAGACATTAATTATGTGATTGTGTTCTCGTTGTTCTTGGCGGTCCAATGAGGAGCGTTAGTATTGGGCGGGAGCTGCCTCATGCTGTGTAATAGGTAAGCACTCGGCCATCAGAACGGGGCTACTGGTGTTCACGGGAAGGGTTCTGACACCCATCACCCCTCCCCGACAGCTCGCCCTCTCATAGCGCTCACTCCGTCTCCGCCGTCCTTCTCCTGGTCGCCCCTGGGATGCTGCCCCCACTCGAACTGTTTTCGTTCCACATCTTGTACCACAAACTATTTTCGTTTTAAATTCTCACCCGAGGAGTGAGGATATTTTTTCCATTGATTTTGAGAGAAAGAAACATCGACGTGAGAGAGAGAGACAATGATTGGTGGCCTCCTGCTCCCAACCCGACCGGGGCCAGGGATCGAACCTGCACCTGAGGTCCATGCCCTTGACCGGGAGTCAAACCTGCAACCCTTCAGTCCATGGGCTGATGCTCTAACCACTGGGAAAACTGGCCAGGGCTGTGCCACAAACTTTTTAATAACAACAATGTGATCTATTCAATTCACTCCTCTTCCTCTATCGAACCAGATCTTCATTTTCTTTATGTTTTTCACTTTTGTGAATTATTTCTTCCCACATTCTAACTCCTCCCTGACTTTATTGCTTTATCTCCTTGATTTAGCAATCCTTTCAACAATGATTTTACTAAGGACTTAAAATTCCTTGTCTATAGCCTCTTGCAATATCTTATCAATATATGCACAATCTCGGACATATTCTTTCTCTACATACCTCAGCGACTAAACACTGCTATGCGTTTAAAAAAGTAAATAAGTAAGCCATCAATAAGCAACTAACAACATCAATTACTATAATTTAAAAAAATACAGCAGAACTTTCTCTCCCTCTCAGCATTCCTATTTCATCTGTGTGGCAATTAGCAGGTCATCCTATATAATAAAGTGGTAATATGCAAATTGACCCTCACTCCATCACATCATCACAAGATGGCTGCACCCACAGTGGAGGCGGGGTTCCCGTAACAAGTTGTAACTAACAATCAGCAGGGACCTGAGGCTGTGTGATGCTGCACCGGGGTGAGGGACCTCAGGCCGCCCTCCTGGCCAGGTGGGGCTTGACCGGGGTTCTCAAGCCATGCCTCCTGCCCTGGCGCCAGGCTGGGGGACTTGAGGTTGTGCCCCTGCCTGGCAGGGCTTGACAGGGGTGTGGCCGGCTGGGTCTGGATCTTGCCCAGTGGGGGTGGAGCTGGCTGGGTCTGGGTCTCGCGCGATTTCAAGGCTCACGCGGGTGGGCAGGGACTTGACTCTGGGTCCTGCAGTGTGCCTCAGACTCTGACAGGAGGGAGGTTTCATATACATTTACTAATTTTCTTTCATCTCTGACACTTCTATTATAGAGAAAGGGCAAATAGCACTATTAAAATATTTCCTCTAATGAATTCCCTTTTAATGTGCATGAATTTTATGCACCGGGCCACTAGTTATTTTATAAAGACAGACAGGCTTTGTTTTGCTTCAGAAACAAGTAAATTTCAAACCCTTATTGGCTTAAAGTAGCAAATACTCTGTTAGTTCCTGTGGGAGGAGGGGCTTGGCTGATCCGACGAAGTCCCTGCCCCTGGGGCCTCCATCCTGGACCTGGGCCTGTCCTGGGGGAGTGAGGGACACGGGAGGGACACGGGAGGGGCACGGAAGGGACACGGGAGGAACACGGACTCAAACTCGCTCGCTCTTCCTCACTTGGCCGACGATGCTCCCACTTTATTGGGCAAAGAGGTGCTGAGCCGCACCTGCCGCCCTGTTCATCCCCGAGCATCCGACACCCCTTCTTCTCTCCAATCGCCTCGAGTTGAGAGCAGGGCCCCCCGGTGGTTGGTGCCGGGAACAGAGGGGCCGTGGGCAGCAGGACTAACCCAGGCGTCTGAGGAAAGGAGCGGCCGGTACTTTAGGTCCCTGATACCCGGTGGTGGGAGGTGAGAGCTGACGTCAAGGAGGGTTCATGCGGGACGGGCGTCTCGTTACTCAGAGGCCAGCACGCGGGAGGCGGGGCCACAGCGCTCCCTTCCCCGCATCGGCAGGCACCCCCACCAGGAAGTCTGAACGCAGCCAGACCCACAGCTGAGATGCTCCCAGAGTTATCGTCTAATTCCCGTCACATTTAGGCTGTAAACAAAGACAAGCATACGCAGCTGCCCAGCAGCTCACTGAGCCTCCTGTCCTGCTAGGACAGCCCCTGTCCGCACAGACAGCCATCGTGCTGCCTGTTAGCAACTGGCACTAAGATGCCAGGCGTGCATGAGCGTTGAGACGTGAGCCCCTCATTTTGGGAGAACGTAGGGGGCGAGGAGAGTGTGTGTGTCTTATGACACCACTTGGGGAGGGGCGGACCCCTAGTCTGTGCTCCTCAGTGGTTGACCCAGCGAAGACATCTGCCAACATCACGCCCACAAAGGTGTCCTGAAGTGGAAGCCACAACTTTGAGGTGGGAGTCTGTCCCTCCATGGGCAGGAAATAGGGGGGCTCTGAGGTTGCTCTAGGTCAGCTGAGCAGGCAGGGTCAGGGTCAGCTCAGGGTCAGTGCGTGCAAACGGCGAAGGGACAGGGTGTCCAGCAGCGTCCTGCACGTAGAGAGCGACTATGGAGGAGGCAGGGGCCACGGCGAAGGCTCCTAAGATCCTCCGACCGGGTTTGTGGGAGGAAAAGAGAAGCTGTTATCACTCCAGGAAAACAGGGTTAAACACGGTGCCAGCCGTCAGCGTCTCAGGGGCTGAAGGAACCGTGACTCAGAGGAAGAGGGAGGAAAGCTGGTGAAGTAGGAAACTTGGGAAAACACAGTATTGTTTCTGTCTGAGTTTAAGGGCAATGGGGCATGAAAGTGAATGGCTTTCTGGGCGGGGAGCCGGGGGCTACAGAGCCGGGACTGGCTGCTGGGAGGCGGTCACGCGAACAGGTGTCGCATCTGCATGGAGCTTCCGAGGGTTCGACCTGCTGTGACTTGTGGAGGGCGGTGGAGGCCTGGCTGGCATTCAGCCTCTCGTTGTTTCTGATTTTAAGGTTCAGAGTCCCAGATGGTCCTTGGAGGACAGAAATTCATTCTCAAAGGGGATCCCCCCACCCCCATTCAATTAACACGATTGAAACAGATGACTGCCGTGTTTTATTATAATCAGATGGACACGCTGTGAATACATTCAGTCTGGTCATTGCAATGAGGTGCAGTAAAGGGAACACATTTTTCTACTAAATAAACACACTGTCTGAAGGGTCAGAACGGGAGAGAGGAATGCTGATGGGCTCACACACGGGGGAGCTACTCCAAAGGGACCCACGAACCCCTCCACCCACGTCCGCCGCACCCCAACATGCACGTCTCACCCCGACACGGGCTCATGCGCACGGAGGCGGGGAACAGAGCACAGTGTGTGTCATTCACGCAGAACCAAGGGCCTCGCCAGGCCGCGTGCCTGCTGGAGCTGAGAGGGAGCGGGTGCGTGACCGGCCGGCCTGAGTCATCACCCCGAGACTTGGTTTCGCCCCGCGGGGCGGCCTGTTCGGTGACTAAAGGACCAAACGAGGAACTGGACCTTCCCCTCCAGGCCCCAGGGCCCTGCTCGGGGCGCATCCCCCATGAGGAGAACGGTGTTCGCTGCGTCCATGGCCAGGCCTCATCCAGATGACAGGCCTGGCCCGGCCGGCGGGCTTGGTGGATGGAGCATCGGCCCGCGGACTGAAGGGTCCCAGGTTCGATTCCCGGTCGGGGCACAGGCCCGGGTTGAGGGCTGGATCCCCAGTGGGGGTCGTGCAGGAGGCAGCCGATCAGTGATCTTCTCTCATCACTGATGTTTCTATCCCTCTGAAATCAATAAAAATATATTTAAAAAAAGACAGGAAGGTCTGCTTAAGGTGAAAATCATAGGTTACGGAAGCATATTATTTCTTAATTACACATGGGTTTTTTGATTCTGTAATTCTAAGCGAGTCTAACTGGATACATTAACTGCCCTAGAATCATCCTACGCACCCGAGGGTGAGTCACAGCCCCTTTTCCCCTAACGTGCCCGCTGCTGCGCCTGGAGTCCCCCAGGAACGAACACAGACTTCCCTGGGCCGGGCGTGGCCACAGCTTGAAAAACTCCATCAGAACCCGAATGCCTGTCTGTTCCTCTCCCGGCTGATGGTTCTGCGCGAGGGCGTTGCTGTGGGTGGAGGGAGTCGGGGGAGACACGTGGAGGGGACGCGGCGTGTTTTAGGCGCCTCGTGGCTCGGCTTTAGGCATGCGATGTCAGTTCGCTTTCTTAGTGATGATAACTGATTGTCCAGCCCGGGGCGTCCACTCCTCCCTGCGATTGGGGCCCTACTTGCGTGTAGACGACACAGACGGGAATAGAGACCAAGTCCAGCAGCGGGAAACGCTCTCACTGCGCGAGGTCGGAGTCCAGTCCCCACCGGAGGCGACCGCCCCTCCGTGTGCCCTTCGCTCTCCATCTCGGCTCGGATGGAGCCGTGAGGGGGGCCCTCCGCCCGACGTCCTTACAGTTCCCGGCAGGACCTTATCAAACCCACTGGCCGCCCCCCGGCCCCCCCTCCAGCTGGAGCCGCGCAGGCCTAGACGTAGCTGGTGCAGGGCTTCCTGGGCACGGCCGGGTCCCCGTGCGGCCCCCGGTGAGGCACGCGGTGCCTGGGGGCCGGGGGCCGGTGCCCTCGCTTCCTCCGGCTGCAGCAGCAGAACCCACAGAGCAGGGCCCCTCCCGCGAGGAGGACGGCGGTGCTGGCCCAGCCCAGGAAGAGCGCGGCCCCCAGCTCACGCTTCTGCCCCACGTGGACGGCGGGGTCGTGGAAATCCCGGATGACGATGTGGGCCGTCCAGGACACGGGGATGAGGACAAAGAGGCCCGTGAGGAGGAGGAGGGCCCCGGACGCCCCCACGAGGTACGCCTTGGCCCTCTCGTCGGAGCCCGTGCACTGGACCTGCCTCAGGCCACAGATGCCCACGAGCAGGGCCGTGAGGGCGAGGGCCACGGCCACGCACATCAGGGCCCGGGCGGCCTCCAGCACGGGGGGCAGGGCCAGCAGGGAGCTGTAGAGCTTGCACTGCAGGGTGGTCCGGGCCTGCCGCACGCAGGTCATCCACAGCCCTTCCCAGATCCTCTCGAAGACGATGATGTTGCTGCCCACGAACGCGGACACGCGCCACTGGGGCAGGAGGGTGGTGGCCAGAGCCCCGGCCAGGCCCAGGACGCCCAGCACCAGCCCCGCCACCTGCAGCGGGTAGAAGGCCATGGCCTGGGTGGGAGACGGGTCGAACCCAGAAGCTGCTCACGATCCCAAAGGCCTGACCTGGCCGGTGGCTCAGCGGATAGAGCGGCGGCCTGTGGACCGAAGGGTCCCGGGTTCGATGCCGGTCAAGGGGACGTTCCTGGGTGGCAGGCTCCTCCCCAGCCCAGGCCCTGGTCAGGGTGCGCGCAGGAGGCAGCCAGTCAGTGTGTTTCTCTCACATGGAAGTTTCTCTCTGCCTTTCCCTCCCTCTCTCTCCCACTGTCTCTAAAAATCAATGGAAAATGTCCCCGGGGGAGGATTAACCAAACCAAAACGCAGGTCCTGGAGGTGGAGGTCTCGTCTACAGGAGTCTTGGAGGGCGGTTTCCACGGCAACAGCCCATCAGGATGAGTCCCCGTGGCAGCCCGGGCCCTGGCCAGCGGCAGGACCTGCTGCGGGCGATGCTGCCTCTGCCCACACTCGCCCGCGTCCGGGGGACTGTGTGCCAGCCACAGAGAGCATCCCGGCCAGGGAGGAGGAAGCCAGAGGTGTGCCGAGCAGCTGCCTTCACGCCAGCCTTTCTCATCCTCCGATTGTCTCGGCGATGCTGTAATTAGTGACGGAGAACCGCTGTGGAATGTTAATTACAGAGCCCGGAACTTCCTGCCTGAGATCTCTCTATAGAAACGCACAAATGCACCAGCTAAGCCACAAGGAAGACAACGCCAAAGCCTGGAGGGTTCTTTGTGTTTTGTTGTTGTTGTTTCTCTTCTCTCGCCAGTTCTTTGCAAGGAAGACGCCGTGGACTCTGGAGGATCCGTGACTCTTCTCCGCCAACTTCCTTTCCTGCAGTCCGTCCGTCCTGCTTCAACCCAGCGTCGGACGTGGGGAATGTTAGGTGTGAGTCTCAGGGCTCCTGCTGAAACCAGTGATACTTTACACAAGGAGGAGTCCTGAGCAAGAAATTCAAATGTCACAGTTTATTCCCAAGATCCAGAAAGGAGGGACGGAGAGAAGCCTTCTGTTAATTTAATTTGCTGGCAATTATCATATTATCTTTTAAGCAACACCCTTCTTGCTGGTGAAATGCTGGTTGGTCTATAAACTTTCATACGTGTTTTTTTTTTCAGTGGCAGCTTGAAATACAGCACATTTATCAAAGTGAAAGACATCTCTCCCATTTTCACGGAACACCATGAAAAGTGTCCTTTGGATTAAGCGAGGAAACTGGTTAAATTCAGAGGAATCTTCTTAGGGACGGGAATTACCTTCCACGTGACCAGGCTTATGTCTCGTTGGCCACATGCAGGATGAGAGGGCACAGCGAGGCCAGCTCTGCGGGTGCTGATCAGGAATACACCCATCTTGGACCTACTAAGCGCGCATTCACCTACTAAGTGTGTGTTCACCTACTAAGCACGTCTTCCTCTGTCTGAGTCAACAACAGGAGGGAGAAAGGTTTTCTCAGGCCTTTTCCTCTGAAGGGACTAAACCAGAAATTGAATGCCACCCCTTTCATAGTTTCCCAAATACTTTTCAAAGCAAGAGAACTTTAATCAATGCTGTTTCAAAGTTCAAGAGGGACACTGTCATCCTTGACTTCCCTCCACGCATTTCCTAGAGGTGGGGGTAGGGGGGTGTGGGGTGGCGGGAGGGGCTTTATGTGGGGAGCAGACCTTCCCCCCTTTTCCTTTTATGTCCTGATGCAAGGAATCCATTTCAAGGATGGAAACTCTGGGAAGGTGTAGCCATTACTCAGGGCACAGCATGCGGACTCCTGCTGGGAGACCCTACCTTTGCACAGCCCTTCATTTGAGTCAACCCCAGCCAACAGCTGGTGTGTGACCCGGTACCACTGGGATATTTTTGTAGGATTCAACACTCTCTATATAAAAGGCTAATATGCTAAGTGTCCGAATGTCCGACCGGTTGCTATGATGCACACTGACCACCAGGGGGCAGACGCTCAACACAGGAGCTGCCGTGACGTGCACCACCCATCTATTGAGAAATGGCACCACAGAGCTGGCGCCCACAAAGCAACACTTGGCTTCCCCCAAGTGGGACACAGGCCTCGCCACCACCCTGGAGTGATAGCCACCCAATCACAGCCGATGCTGCCAAGAACCCGTGGAGCAAAACACAGCCCACAGCCCAGCCCAGCCCAGAAATGGTCACTGTGGGCACTGGGTAATGATGTCACCTAGCAACACCTGGCTTCCTCTCCCTAGCAACTAGCCTCCTTGGAGTGTCTTCAGCCCAGGAACCTGACTTCCTTTCTAGCCAGGTGCAGACATTTCACACTGTAACCAAATGTCTGTGAAGCGTTTTCCCTGCCTCATCTCATTTGATCCTCACAGAAGTCCTGGAGTAGGTAGGTAGGAGAGTTGGTGGAATCCTATTTTCTTTTCATTAGCCGGACAATGGAGATTTAGAAAGCTTAGAAACATGACCCGATTGAAAAGAAGAAATGGTGGACCTTGAAAATGACTTCAGGTTTTCTCACTGCGCAGAATATAGTCAAACACTGCTGCAGTTAAATATTTTACCCTTTGTTCTCCCTGCGTGAGCTACAATAATAATCAGCTTCATGTTGACAATTTACTGCTGTGTTGCTGACAATTACCTGAAAGAGAAGTCGGGGTGCTTCACTGGGCTGGAAAAAGTTTAGCTAAATCAGAAAGCAGGTCTAATAAGCAAGTTTATTCTGTATAAACTATATATATATTCTCTATATAAAAGGCTAAGTTGACTCACCCATGCACGATACACATAAAGCTCTCACTGACGCCAATCGCACACGTGTGTTTCCGTCTGTCATTGTCGATCATGAATTTGGTTGACACTTCTATTATAGAGAAAGGGCGGATAGTGATATTAAAATATTTCTTCTAATTAATTTCCTGTTGATGTGCATGAATTTGTGCACCGGCCACTAGTAATTTATAGTATCTAGAAAGATCCAGGTGACCTGCCTGGCTGGTGTGGCTCAGGGGTTGAGCTTTGACTTATGAACCAGGAGGTCAGGGTTCGATTCCCAGTCAGGGCACAGGCCTGGGTTGTGGGCTCCATCCCCAGTGTGGGGCGTGCAGGAGGCAGCCGGTCAATGATTCTCTCTCATCATTGATGTTTCCATCTCTCTCTCCCTCTCCCTTCCTCTCTGTAATCAATACAAATATTTTTTTAAAAAGACCCTGAACCAGCCCCTCGCAGGCCTCCCCTCGCCTCCGTGTCTCAATTCGCAGTCGCCTGCAGGGGACAGTCCGGCCTCCTCAGAGCCCACACAGCCCCGTCCCGACCCGGCTCCTGCTCAGCCTTAAGCGTCTCTCTCACCGTGGCTCATCCGACCTTCACCGCACGCACGTCGCAGTGAGAGTCGTAAATATTAGGTGGTGATTGCCAAAATGTGTTAATTACAAGTGGACACACAGCTGTAGACAGAAAAATAGAGCGTGGAAACATAGGGTATAGAAGAGTCCAAACAGAAGAGAGTCCTTACCGTTAATCGTGAAGTGAAAGGAAGACTCGCTGACAAAACCGTAGCTCAGCCGTAGCTGGAGGCCCGAGCCGGAACTAGCCTGAGCGTCTCGCAGGGAGTGGGATGGAGCACGTGCGTCACGCAGGCAGGCTGGGGTCAGACGTGAGGCCAGAGGGCTCAGGGCTCCTGGGGAGGGGCCAGAGGAGGGGGGGTGACGAGGGGCGAGGGGAGGCCGCAGACGGGCCACGTGCAGACCTGCAGGTGCTGGGAACCTAAATTGATAAAAATATAGTCGTTTAATTATTATTATTATTTTAAATATATTTTATTGATTTTTCACAGAGAGGAAGGGAGAGGGATAGAGAGTTAGAAACATCGATGAGAGAGAAACATTGATCAGCTGCCTCCTGCACACTCCCTACTGGGGATGTGCCTGCAACCAAGGTACATGCCCTTGACCAGAATCGAACCTGGGACTCTTCTGTCCGCAGGCCAACGCTCTATCCACTGAGACAAACCGGTTACGGCTATTTTTATTATTTTTTAAATTCTCAGCTGAGGATATGTTTATTGATTTGAGAGAGAGAGGGAGAGAGAAACACTGATGTGAGAGAGAAATGTTGATCAGGTGCCTCCCGCACATGCCCCGACCGGATCGAACCCGCCACCTTCCCGTGCAGGGACGATGCCCCAACCTCCTGAGCAGCCGCACATTGTCATTGACCGAAGCTCAGTTATTCGCACTTGCTGGTTCCTCGCTGTGTCCTCGCTCTGTGCCCAGACCCCCGCCCTCCCCCCCCCCCCCCCCCGGGCACTGCGACCTTCAGCTCTAAGGTTCCGGCTCCTCCCGGCCATGACCTTCCTCGAGCGTTCCGCACTCGGTGACCTTGACTCTGAGGGGCCTGCGCACGGCTCGGTGGGTCGGCCGCCCTCGTCCTGCAATGTCTCCTGTTCCCCTGCTGATTCCACGAGACTGTGGCTGGGGAGACGGTCCCAGAGGTGAGACCTTTGCCCCCATCACCTGCAGGGGAGCCGCCCTCTGTGGCTGCCATGGGGCCTCGGTCCCGGCTGGGACCCGCTGTCGGGATTTCGGGTTTCTCACCGAGAGGTGGCCCTCAGCTCTCGCACGGCCCCTCCAGGGAGGTCCCTGCACAGCCCACCCTCGGGGAGGGGCTCCAGGCATCAGGTGGGAATCTCCTGCACGGCTCACCTTCTCCTCTTACTCACCCATGAACCACCTGTTCACATCCGTCGGGACTCGTGACCGTGCATTTCGTGCTCCGTGTCGTAAGCTGCAGCACCGGCTGGTTTTGCTCCCATTTTCCCTTTGGGCCTGGGGATCCTCCCGTCCCTCCCACACGGGTTTGCGCTGCAGCCTGAGCACATACAGCACAGCCCTTCCCCTCTTCCCAGCAGCACAGGCGGGGTTCATGCCCCGGCTGGGAGGGGGGAACCCAGACGCAGCCTCAGGCCGCAGTGCCCGAGCCGCACTGCCCAGCACCACACGCTGCCTTTTCTGAGTTCGGTTAACTTCACGGGAAAGGCT